TGTTTAACACAGTCACATTTTTATTATTTCTTTTTTAGCTTTTTGTATTTTCTACCAATGTTATTAATTTGTAAAACAATGACATATTTTATTGTCATATAATGACATTGTATATTACATTGTCAAAATAGTCATTGACACTGCTATTGACATTACGATAATTACAATGTCATTTTTATAATATTGACATTGTCATTGATATTATAATTATCATAATGACATTTTTATAACATTGACATCTTCAAAATTTGACATTGTGATAAATATAAATCCTAAGATTGTGTGATCGAATTTGAACAACGAGAAGTATTATTCTGATCTTCAATGTTTTTATACTAGTATATATGTAGTATTATACTAAGTACGGAGTATTGCTTTACGAATCTATTGCTCTGTTACTTTAATGAAGTTTCCATGAATGAACAAAACAAAACCAAAAAAAGATGCTCTGTACTTCGTATTCCAGATGGCCAAAATAGCATCTCTGGCATATACAGCTATCGGCAACTAAAGTAGCTTCAAAGTTTTCCTTCATCAAAATTGAAAGATAAAATAAGAGAAAAAAGCTACGAAGAGTTATGGCAGCACTACAGCAGAGAAGAAACTCCGTCAAAAGGGAAGAAGAAGACCTGGCGACCACTCTGATGACAAGCATCGGCGACCACTTCGGAGACGACGAATGGAGGCACTCGGGAGTGACAACACGATGAGGAATCGGCGGTACGGTTAGGATTCATTCGCTTTGGCACATCTCCTCCGTCAATTGCCTACGGAATGTATACAGAAATTGGCCGTCAATTGCCTTTTGTATTGATGTGAGGGTAGTTTTGTCTGTTGACATTAAATTAGTCCTACACGGGGTTTAATAAACATCAGCTCTAGGCTTGGACCAATCACCCTATATATATTAGGCCAATCACCCTGAAACTTCTAACTAATTACAAAAATGCTGGGTGTACCGTATAATTTACCGAATTTTAACAATTGATCTTCAACTTTTGTAATAGGTTACAGTTTTTGTATTTGTCAACCCAAAAAACGGTTGTTATAAGACAAAAATATAATGTCACAATCGTTAGAAGATCAAAAGTATTATTGTTTAACTAGTATAGTACTCATACATACACACGAGAAAGAGCAGTTGATGCATATATTTTTATGCAAAATCTAATTAAATACTAGTATGAAAATAGAATATGTTTTTAGAATTTTATATTTTTCAAAAGTCGGTGTATAATAAGCTAGTACCATAAAGTATAAGTTCATACAATAAATATTAAAACATGAAAATATCAAGGAAAACTAATTGACACTATTCACTAATATTTACTACTTATTAATTAGTGTTGTCAACAACATTTAATGAAATATGAAACTTTCACTGCCATGGCCAGGGGCAAAGTCAGGACACTGAGCCGGATTGGACGGATTCCAAAAAATATTTTTGGAAACATTTTTACACAGAATTTTTTACATTGCATTTTTAAAATTTAGTGTGGGCCAGGGCATACATAGGCTGGCCACCCCCTAGCTACGCCCCTGACCATGGCCTAGACTGGCCACCCTAGCTACGCCCCTAATCATGAATTAAGGGCCGCCGATCTTAATTACATCCATGTTTGCTCTAAACTATTCGTAATACCACATATAACTATTCATTACTCACCATTCCCAATATATTTCCTAATATATTACTATGTAAACATCACCACTTTTATAGAGTTTTTTCCCAGAATAATGCTGCATAAATAAATAATTCCCAAAATACTGCTGGGTTAAAAATAATTCCCAAAATACTGCTGGGTTAACTGTGGTTAAGAAAAGCCGCCACTTGAAATGGCGGTTTTTCTCTACACAGTACAAGAGCCGCCACTTGAAGTGGCAGCTTTTCTTAAAGAATAAAGCAACCACGTAACGTATACGAAGTATAAGTCTAAAAACAAATGTTGTGGGACCCATCCAAAATTAAAAATCCCCTGTTTTCTTTGAACTGCTATAACTTTTTTATTTGTACTCTAATTGTTACAAAAAATATATCAATATTCATAATTTTTTATTATCTTTCATATGACACCAATATTGAATATATAAAATAAAAAAATTATTTAACACTAAAAATTACTATCTCCGGTCCTAAATAAACTTCTTGTACACTTTACGATGCTTGACTGACGATAAAACAACCCGATCCATGTTCACACCCGGTTTATTTTTAGTAAATAAAATTTACATTTTCAGAAACTACATTAAAACCGCTATAAATTTTCTTGATCAGTCTTTATAGCGGTTTTAATGTAGTTTCTGAAAATGTAAATTTTTTGAAAATGTAAATTTTATTTACTAAAAGTAATTAAATCGGGTGTGAACATGGATCGGGTTGTTTTATCGTCAGTCAAGCATCGTAAAGTGTACAAGAAGTTTATTTAGGACCGGAGATAGTAATTTTTAGTGTTAAATTATTATTTTTATTTTATATATTCAATATTGGTGTCATATGAAAGATAATAAAAAATTATGAATATTGATATATTTTTTGTAACAATTAGAGTACAAATAAAAAAGTTATAGCAGTTCAAAGAAAACAGGGGATTTTTAATTTTGGATGGGTCCCACAACATTTGTTTTTAGACTTATACTTCGTATACGTTACGTGGTTGCTTTATTCTTTAAGAAAAGCCGCCACTTCAAGTGGCGGCTCTTGTACTGTGTAGAGAAAAACCGCCATTTCAAGTGGCGGCTTTTCTTAACCACAGTTAACCCAGCAGTATTTTGGGAATTATTTTTAACCCAGCAGTATTTTGGGAATTATTTATTTATGCAGCATTATTCTGGGAAAAAACTCCACTTTTATATATAATGCGTGAGAAAATCATTTATGCTCCTTAAAAAGTAATGGATTTTGATATAAATAATACAGTATTAACGGAAAAGTTATAGATAAAAGTCGAACAACAACCACAATAACATGAATCGCACATATATTAGTAATATATTAGGAAATATATTAGGAATGGTGAGTAATGAATATATTAGAGTTTCTCACGCAATATATTAGGAAATACGTAGTATATAGTAAAAACAAGTGGGAATTAACATGTATTGTAGAGTCAATACCAAAAAGAGTCCCAGAGTATTGTGCATATACCCAATTTAGTCATACACTGTTAATTTGGTTAGCATTGGTGCTCTATTTTCAATTAAGTTCAGTCCTCTATTGCTTTTTTTTTTTACCAGAGTTCAGACGTTCAGTTCTCTATTGTTTTAATCTAGGAAAAATGACACGTCTACAATCTACACCATTGGAAGACAAAAATATGACTATTTTCTTTAAAAATGTAATTAAATTTTGTTTAATTAATATACTTTTCTTTTAGTTTTAATTCTCACTCAACTACCCACCCTTGCCTCACCCGGTCACCCCTGTCCTACTGCTGGCTCCAGCCACACCTGTCAATGATTATTGTCAGAATCCACTGCCATCAGAAAATATCATTAGGATTTTATTTTCTTAAAACTGCCTCCGGAATTATATCACTAGTGAAAATTATTTCTTGCTTATTTTGAATTTTCGTTGAAATAAGTTTTCAACTGTCACAATGACATGTTTGTTAGGAAATAACTAATCCGATAAACTCCACCTAAGGGCATCCCCATTGGTAGGATTATTAAGAGATTAAGTAAGTGACATGGCAGATTTTTTAAAGGAGCATCATTGGGAGACATAAATTATTTAATGAGATTATTTGCTATAATAATCCGCGATCAAAATATGAATCCAGATTATTTTAATATTATTTAAAAAGTATATGTAATAGAAGTTAATGCAGGAACGAAAAAATCTGATTATTTGACGATAATGGTTGGGAGACATAAACGAATATTGAGATTATTTAAACATTAATTATATAACAATATTTAAAAGGTAAGAATCATAGAAAAAATTGATTATTGGAGATCATGAATGGAGATGCTCTAAGCTGTTTGGAAAAACTTTGTTACTTTATCTACTAATAAAATAAATAGTCTCATATAATTTTTTTTTACTTAATTTAAACAAATATTTTAGAATAGACAAAGACCTGGGCTCGAGGTGATTGGCCGATTTTTAGGGGAAACTTCATAAAAACAAAACCCGGTGAATCTTTGTGGCGGTGGCAGTTCTGATAACAACCGCCGACATATGCGACTGGAGCGAGCAGTGGGACATGAGGACATAGGTGGGTAGTTGGTAGAAATTAAAATTAAAAAAATATATTAATCAGAAAAAGTTAATCCTATTTTAGATAAATAAAAACTAATCTTATTTTTATCTTTTAAAGATGTAGAAGTACTATTTTTATAATCTATCCTAGAATAAAACAACAAAGGACTTAAATTGGGAAAGAAAGAATAGAAAGTCTAGGACCAAAGGGTCACGCAGTTCCTTTCTACAATTCTACATTTCTACGTACATGTAAAAGCGAATTGGTTCCGAATAGGTGTATGATTTCAATATATTTACAAAAATGAATCAAAAGTTCAACAACGGTCCCATGGTCTAGCGGTTAGGACATTGGACTCTGAATCCAGTAACCCGAGTTCAATTCTCGGTGGGACCTTTGTTTTTTTTTATACTCCAATTTGGCATTACTCATTATGCCTACTCAACGACTTCTTCAAAGCAGTTTTTAGTTCCCAATCTCTTATTTTCCCCTTGCTTTTAACATTGTGTTTGTCAACGACTGCTTTTAACTCACTGTGTTTGTACTTGTTTTTAGTTCCCAATCTCTTATTTTTAGTTCCCTTGTTTTTAGGACATTGGACTTTGAATCCAGTAACCCAGTTCAATTCTCTGTGGGACCTTTGTTTTTCTTTTTTGACTCCAATTTGGCATTACTCATTATGCCTACTCAACGACTTCTTCAAAGCAGTTTTGTACTGTGTTTTTATTTCCCAATCTCTTATTTTTCCCTTGCTTTTAACATGATTACCAAAGATTGATCTCAATCAAATCTTATCCCTATTAGTTCTGGTAGTTATGTTAAAAGCAAAGATTGATCTCAATCAAATTTTATCTCTATTAGTTGCCAACATTTCAGGAGGAAACATTGAAGAATTATAATTTATATAATACAAGTATAAGAGCACAAATTCATTTCAAACAACAATCATCAATACAGAGAGATTGTCTTAGAGCCTTAGAGGCATCTCTGATCAAGCCAATTCAAGATATCAGTTCGGACGATCTGGACATTTTCATCTGTTTCCCCGAACAACAAAGAATGCATCATCCCCTCATAAATCTTGATGCTTTTGTCCTTGCTTCTTGCCATCTCATACAATTCCCTGCTCACTTCCAGATCCGTGACCACATCGGCTTTCCCATGTAACACAATGAACGGAAAAGAAACATCGCATAATTTGCTGCTAACATAATCAGTAACCCTCAACAGCTCCAGCACTGTTCCCAACCTCGGTCTCCCTCTATACCTGTTAAGAGAGAGTGTTTCTTATAGAAGATTATAAAGACAACCAAATTGATTCGATTTAGTCTTTTAGTAACTCGGAGGCACCTGCTATGATGAGAAGTACAAGTACTTAATTACATATGCAAGTAGACAACTTTGAATTAAGTTAATTTCCATTAAAAAAACTTTCAACTTTGGTTCCTTGAATATAACATGGAGAAAATATATTGAGCACACCAACATGGTCATTAGACAGCACGTTGGCGTGATTAATGGTCAATATTCATTCATCTAAAATTTGTATAGAATCTTGGGCACTCATCAAGCCAACGTGCTCCATATATTTTCTCATATAACAAGATAATATCCATTTTTGAACCATGTCTTTCATTATTTTCGCCTTTTGTTGCGCGACAACGGATTTTTGCCGCTTTTGGTCATTCTTGTTGACTAATCTGATGAAAATCGATAAAAACTACTACGGAAACTGATGGGATAAATGGCTGAAGAGACGATAAGCGACAAAAAATCTATAATAGGACCAATGTAGGATTGCCAAGACAGTCGCTAGTCGTAGGAGTAAAAGTTGAATATTTTATTTTCCACATAGCAAGCATACTTTGATGGCAGGTAAAGGGAGTTGATGCAAAACTGGTTCCCTTAATCAAAAGGCCGCTATCTATGCAAAGATCAGGCCATGTTTGGTTGCATACTTGCATTGATTAGTTTAGCACGCTTATTCTGCCCATTAACTCACTATTTGGTTGAACATTAGATTGCTTTACCTACTGCTTCGGATAGTTCAGCTAAAGATACATACCAAACAGACCCTTATATGATCAGATTGACTGACTTCTGCCTAGTTAGGAAGAAAGTAAAAGAGTCTACCTGTGCGGATTCATCCGGGCAATGATTTTCTTCTCAGGGACTTTAACAGACTTGTCAAGCAAATCAGCAGCAGGCACCATTGGAAGAGTGGGTGCAAAAATGGAAAGGGCAGTCAAGATTTGAGGGATGGGCCAAGAAGGTCTGACCTTTTCAGAGATTCTACACATGGGAGCTATTAAGATGGCGCCATTACTGAACAGGCCAGGGTTCTTGAGGTGGATCAGCAGACAAATGGCTCCTCCCATGGATTCACCGAACAGGAATTGGGGAAGGTCCTGGAACTGGGGGTTCTGGAGGGTGATGGAATTGAAGAATGAGAGGCAGTCCTCTATCACAAGATCCAGATTGGGTACATAGCCCTTAAGGCCCTGGGACTGGCCATGGCCTTCCAGATCAAGGGCAAAGCAAGCATACCCATTCTGGGCTAGGAAGATTGGGGTTGCTTGAAATGTCCAGCTGATGTCATTCCCGTACCCATGGACCATGAAGATGACGCCACGTGGCCATCGGGTGCTGGTCTCTGTGGGTAGCCATGATCTGGTGAAGAGGGTCAAGCCTCTAGGGGAGTGGAAGAAAGACTTGGACGAATGGATGCCTTGAAGAGCATAATAGTCTTCCTCTGGGATGCTTCCCCAATAATATGGTTGTTGTTGGGTTTCCATTGCGGGTTTCTCCCCGCCGAGAAGATATATATACTCCGTATGACAGTAGGCTGGATTTTAGAGATAGACTTAACTTCTTCTTGCATTAGAGATGGAGCCCGTTTGATAATTAGCCAATTCTGATTCCAACTGAAATTTACGAAGTCGTGACAGACGCGGCTGGATTGCTTGATTTTGTCAATTTATGAAAAAAATCTCTTTTAAAATTTATTTTATTATTAAGATAAAGAAAAATTTATATTGAAAATAGTTTTAATAATCATGAACAGTAATTTCAATTTATACAATCAAAAAAGTAATTACAATCTTATTTTTTATTATTATTACACTATTCGGCGCGAAATCAGAAATTACATTTTTTATGAAAAAAATGATTGATAAGTTGAAAACAGAGTCACAAAACAGCTGCATAGTCTTAAAGAGTGTTTGGGTCTAAAATTGTAAAAGAAGAAGAGGATGAGTAGGAAGAAGAGATAACTGTAATCTATCTATTTCTATTCTATTTATATATAAGAAAAGAATAGGTTGTTTAAATTACAATGTTACCCTCTTCTACTCCTACGTGTCTGCCTCTCCTTGAATCGCTCGATTGCTATTGTGAATCCACGTGTCATCCTGTGTTTGAAAAAAACTAGCTAGCTTACGACTCTACTCAAGCGTCAATTCCCTGAGCGGTTGAGCCTGTGTTTTCTTCTCCGAAAAATCATGAACTAATTGTGTGAAATTGGGAGATATCACAAGAGCTTTCCATGTACAACAACACATCTCTCATCTACTCCCTCTCCATCCACGAGATTACTGTGCGGTTGAAAGATCTGAAAATACATTCTACTACATTTGTAATTGAAGTAGGGCTTTGTGCTATATATTGCCTCTGTAATAAAATACAAGTACGTTGCCTCTTCTACTCCTGCCATCATCTTCAAGTACGTTGCCTCTTCTACTCCTGCCATCATCCTCTACGCGTTTTGAATTATTTTTTACCTGCAAATTGAATCAATTGCGGAACACAAACCTCTTCATAAAAGCCACTTTGGATTTGTATGAAGTATTTAAGTTGTATAAGCAGTTCAACCATGCTCCTGTTGTATTTTTCTAGATAGGATAATCTGATAGGCCTAGAGTATTTGTTGATGTATTTATTTCTCTGTTTTTACATGACTTTTAGATGTACCAAAGCATATAAGGTGTTCGACGAAATGTTTATATGAGAAAAGCATATTAGTTTTTATAGTTCACCTGGGTTTTAGTTTTTTTTAGTTTATTTACATGATTTTCAAATTGTTGAAATAACTGAATATGATGTATTTTGTGATAGAAAAACATAAGGGAAAAGCATTTAGTAAAGTAGCACTTTTGTGAAATCCAGTATTTTTAACTTTTGTAGATTAGCACTTCTATGTTTCCCCCCTCAATTGGACTATAATGGCCTAGCCTTCAACTTTCCTGGAATTGATAATGTTTGTCTCACAACTTTTAAATCAGGAAAATATAAGATGTAAGTTTTACTCCGTAAATTCCAGTGGGCATAGTTAAAAGAGGTGACATCACATCTCCAGTGAAGTGTTGACGAATGATTGAAATTTAAAAGCAAATTTCACAACAAAAAGTCTAAAGCAAAATTAATTGAGTTTGATTCATGAAAGCCGTGTGTGAATCAAACCCTGCCAAAAGAAAACAATAGCTTGCAAATCTTTTGAAAAATAATCAGACTATTTGACACTCATAAACAATTCATTTTATCAAGAAGTGACAAATTTAGTCTACATGATATTGGATTGAAAAAAACATCCCAACAGTTAAGCCTCTCATATGGAATTAGTCTAGATCCAGTTTACAAATCTTTTGAATGATAGTTAGCTTCTATCATGGGGTTCCTGAATTTGAATGTGATAAATTAACTTCAAAATGTAGTAAACGGAGCCTGAAATTAGCGTATCTGATACAAAAGGAGTTCAGCTTGGTTCATGTATAAAATCCATGTATGATTCATACTCGGCCAAAGGAAAGCAATAGCTAACAATTTTTATAAAAAAAAATCAGACTCTTAACAAAAACATAGTCTACTTGATCAAAGAAATGCTCTTTGATTCATGAAAGGCATGTATGAATCAAACTCTGCCATAGAAAGCAATAGCTTGCAAATCTTCTGAAAAATTAATAAGTCTACTTTACATGAACAAACAAATTCATTGTATCAAAAATTGACAACTTTTGGTTGTTATAGTAGACGGAATTAGAAATTTAAGACTAATGCTGAATAAAGCAGTAGCTAACCTTAGTTTCAACTGAACAACAACAATGGGTGGATTCTTGATGGTATTTTCCTTCATTTTTTGCATGAGTGTTAGGTCTACCAAAGCATATAAGGTAAAACGTATAGCATAGAGGTGATATCACTTGCTTGATTCATGAGTTTCCAAGTACACAGACAAAGAAAGTAATAATTACTAATTTTAAGATTTGAGGTAATACTTATGGTTTGAATTGTTGAGTTCACTTTATTGAGTATTTTTGCTCAATTTGATATCACAGGGATTGAAAAGTATTGCTTGGGCACATATATTTGAGTAAAAGTATATATGCCTAACATAAAATCCATTTGAAATACATTTTCCTGAACAAAAAAATCATTTGCCTGAATCCTCAACTTTGTGGAAGTGCATGTAAATAAAAATTGGCCAAGAGTTTCCAAATCCTCAACAGCCATTCTCATTGTGAATTTAATTTTGTATTACTACTACAATCGAAAGAGGGCCTCCTCAGAAACAACTTGCTTAGAAATATGAATTCATGACTAAGAATTAGTATATGTATATATAGGACCCCCAATTCAAAGCAGAGTTACTTTAGGCATATAGGGAGTGATAGCTCTCTGTAAATATAATTCAACTCATTTCTTTTATTTTTATCTTTATTTGTTCCTTTATGATCCTTTTTCATCTTTTTTTTCTTAAAGAACTCCCAACAGTTTCTGTCTACGCACTCTTTCATCAAAGCGCTCTCGCTATCTGAATTGTGTTTCCAGTTTCTCAAAAGTATTGAGACGTGATTTTCTGGAATCTGAAAGTTAAGTGATACCGAATTGGCAATATTCTATGGATAGAAATGGCAATTACTTTTGTTATTTATTTAAAAATAAATGAAGAGAATCATTGAACCCCAATCATTACTATACATTAAATTGGGGTGACTGAGCTGTTAATACTATTCCGATTGTGTTTTTGAGTGATCATGCAAAATATATTATTCACCGTGGAGAGCAAGAAATTGTTGTCAAGCTAGGATTGTTGTAGAATATAATAGTTATGATACACTTTTCATCGTTCTTTTATTTTACCAGCATTTAACCTGACACATTTTTGAACACAGGAATCCAAATATTTCAGAGTTGGTACAATTTCAAAATTCGTTGCAAGGCGTGATGGAGTTATGCCAGTTGCTCTAAATGCAATGTAAAATCTCCTGTGGAGATCTAATTCGCCGTTCACATGTTCATGTGATACTTGAAAACCAGATGATTTGGGTAGGTTGACAAGGATATTCCTATATCATAAGGCCAAGTTCACATTGATAATGTAAATCATAACTAACTTGCATTGATTAGAATCCACAGATTTGCTTTACATTTCTTATAAGTTAGAATTTTATTTAATTTATGTATTTGAAGCAGACGTTTTCTACTAATTCAAATGTCACAGTTTTAAATGCCACATACATACGTAGTACAAATTAAGTTACTAAGGTTGGGTGATAGAACAAGGTTGGGACTCATGGATGTAGAGTCAGATTCAATGCATGCCATTGCTGAAATTAAGCAGGGTTCTAGCTGCTCTTGCTCTGGATGGTAAGCTGAAGATATTAGAGATATTTATATGGATTTCACAAGCGTTAGTTTCTCTCATATCAGGCGTTCTACCAAAAAGGGTGTTCATGCTATAGTAACGGTGGCAGTTCCTGTGTTTGAACGCTGTTTTTGGTCATTTTATTCTCCTAGCTGTATTACTTGTGTTCTTAACAATCACTTGAAAGAATTGATCTATAAATGTTTAGAGCCGCTTTTACTGATGTTCTTAGCAATCACGTGAAATACTTGGTCTATATATGTGTCATTATCAAGGAAATAAACCGACTCAAGAACTTACATCATGAGGAGAAAAACTCATTATACACTATTAAGAATGGTGTCTTTAAAGAGGTTTTCCAAAACATTTAACAAGTAAGCTTAATGTTTTATTACGGAGTATATGTTACCGATGACATTAATTAATTAGTAGCAAATTCTAATAGATGTCAATTAATTTACGTGGCAGTTCCTGTGTTTGAACGCTGTTTTTGGTCATTTTATTCTCCTAGCTGTATTACTTGTGTTCTTAACAATCACTTGAAAGAATTGATCTATAAATGTTTAGAGCCGCTTTTACTGATGTTCTTAGCAATCACGTGAAATAATTGGTCTATATATGTGTCATTATCAAGGAAAAATGTTTAGAGCCGCTATAGGAAAAATGTGTCTATATATGTGTCATTTACACGTGAAATAAATGTTTAGAGCCGCTATAGTAACGGTGGCAGTTCCTGTGTTTGAACGCTGTTTTTGGTCATTTTATTCTCCTAGCTGTATTACTTGTGTTCTTAACAATTAGGCATGGACTCGGTTCGGGCCGGGCCCGGTTCGGGCCGGGCCCGGTTCGGGCCTTGAACCGGCCGGGCCTCGGTTCACGGTTTGGGAGGCCCGGAACCGGCCCGGGTAACCCCGGGTCCGGTTCGGGCCGGGTGGCCCGCCCGGTTCACGGGCCGGGCCCGGTTCGGGTCGGTCCTTTTCATTTTTTTTTTTATATTCTATACTATATAATTATAATAATTGTTATGAAAAACAAAATTCAAGTGCATTTATTTGAAATAGGAAGTACATTTGAGAATTGAGGAAAAAATAACAATATGAAATACATTTTCGAATAAATATCAATTGGGATTTCCGCCACCGTTGGTTGTTGTTTTACCTTTGTCACATGACTTCATATGTTTCATTGGCATCCCGACTCCGTGTGAACGCCCCAAGCAACACTCTTTCTCATTAAAGTATTAATTAGATACATTTCTCATTAAAGTATTAATTAGAAGTAGTTCGATTTGTATAATTAATTAATTTTTGCC